CATAGGTACTGTCGCCGTATGGGTTATAGGACCCATAGCGCTTGGCTTTCCATCTGCTAGGTAGACTTGTCTTGCTTTCTTCGCTTGTTTGGTGTGGAGGCCGTATTTGTCGCATATTTCTTTGTCGATAAAGACTTCAGTGGCCCCCGAGTCGAGCATTGCATATATTGTTGTTTCTTCGCTTTCTCTGTTGTATTCCTTCGTTTTGATCATCACATGATCTCCATCTTCTTCTCCTCTTTGCGTGTGTAGTGCCGTGTAGTAGTTTGCTAATTTGATGGGTTTTCCAGGTCCACATCTTGGGTCTCCCAGACCTCCGTTTACTGGGGACCCTCGTCATTTTCCGCCGGTGAATCCTCTGCTATCATCTCGCAGATGTTGCTCCTTTTCTGATTTTGGAAATGGTTATTTCCAGCAGCTCTGTTTCCCTGGTATCCGTTGTCCGGTCGGCTTCTGCATTCTCGTATCCGATACCCTGCTTTTCCACACCTTAGGCATAATTTCCCATTCATCCTTCTGGCGTATTCTTCTTTAGAGAGATTCAGAGCAGGTCCTGTTCTTGACTTGTCTAACTCCATTGGTTCGCCTGGTGGTAATGCTCGACTTTCTCCTCGAGGTGCTTGCGGTTTGAAGGTTCCGTCCACATTCCTGGATGATTGGACCACTCTATGTGCTATAGTATTTTCCCAGTTGCTCTGAACAATGTTTAATTTGCTTTCTTTGTCGATTGCCCATCCTGCAAATCGTTCGGCTGTCGTATAGCGCAGGTCAGAGATTCACCATGCCTCTCGTAGTCTCTCACTGCAGTTTCTCAGGAGGATGATGTAGAGAGTCACATCATCAAACTCAGCCTCGTATTCCAACAGTCGACATTGGTTCCAATATGCTGTGAATGTTTGTTTTCCTTGCTAGAATTTTTCTAGCTTTCGTCTTGCTGTTTCTTTGGCGTTGGGATCTCTAAATTGTTCAAAGAGTGTCGCCTTGAACTCTTCGTATGTGACCCATTCCCTCTGCTTCCTTCCATCTTGGAGAGGCATGATCCATTGTCCCGCGAGTCCTCTGAGCAGAGATTCCACATATGGAATCTTGATCTCATCATGTTGTTCTCCGTATCCTTTAACGGCAAAATAGCCTTGGCATTGTGCTAAGAATATTCGTAGCTTATCTTCAGCTCCTTCGTATGTGTCGGGCTCCTTTGCTTTTGGTCGTTGGACATTTCCTTGTCCTGTATTTCGCGTGGCTGCTAGAAATGCCTGAAACTGATTTTCAGTCATTCCAAGTATGCTGGTTCCTGGTGCCAGAGCTGCTGGGGCTGGTGGCCCAGGTACTGCGGATCCCGACATTCTCTCAGGTCGTGGAGTTTCAGCAGGAGAGCTATCGACTGATGATCCTTCTTCTGGGGTTACTGGGCTTGCTGCTCTCGAGGGTTCTACTGAGATGTGATCTAGGGCGTCGCTGAATCCTCCTAGATTAAGATTTGGATTGTCGATGTCAATATCACCTTCCCTGTCTGGGATGAATGATGCCGTCTTGTATCGTTTGACGTCGCACTAGGTGACGCTTTGTAATGTAACCATCCCCTTTCAGATAGTTAGTTCTTGGCGACGGGGAACGATACTTATCTTTTCTTTCCCTTTCTTTCTTTGTCTTACGATTGCTCTAGGCCTCTACCTATGTTACCGATAGTACAAGACCTTTGTCTTCTATCGGAAACACCTATCGTAAGCTTTCTCTAACTCGTCTTCGTAACGAGTGCTTCTTGGCGTAATGATAACGTTGCAATAAGGATAAAGATCGTAAAGGTGTTTTATATTCGTTAAAGTAATATGTAGGAAAAGTACTTAGAACAAAGCGTGAAGAACCTATCTTCCTCGACCTCATCGGCCTCCTTATATAGTATTCTTCCCGCCTTTAATCATGTGACCTAAAGTGGTCACATGTGCAAAACCAAATCATAACAAACTAGTCATGTGACCAAAGTGATCACATGCTCAAAACCCATGACCTTATAGCAAGGTCATGTGCAAAACTCATAAACCAATCATAACACAATAAACAAGTCATATGACTCGACTGAGTCATATGTGCGAAACCCATGACCTCATAATGAGGTCATGTGTGAAACATAAATCATATGCGCAAGGCTTACCTGCAAGGCACACTCGCAAGGCATACTCGTCAGGCGCATGTCCTTTGACTCATATTTGAGCCATGTGCGATAGCATCACAAATCCCACACATAATAAATCATATAACCCGAATGAGTTATATGCGCAAAACAATAACATACCTCTGACTCATAACCATGTGTCATGTGAAAACCTTTTCCATGCTAAGCCACATTCGTGACAGGTAAGAGCTAATCGTATAAATAATATTGTATTATTAAGGTCTCTTCTCTCATGCTTAATGATGTCTAAAAGCTCGGTAGATACTTTTCTATTGATATTTTACATTTGAGTGTTTGTGGACTACATTTATCTTTCCTATAAATTATATACCTCATTAACCATAACTCCTAATATCAGGTATTCTTTAGAAGTACTAACACTAGGAGAACCTGAAAACTATTATACAATTTTCAGTACTTACTATTATACCAATTGGAAACTGCACTGTTTCCAATAGTAAATATCCAATTCTCTAGGTTTATTAGACTTATGGCCTAGTTCTCAAGGTAAACAGTATTGGTGCTAAGTGTCTCGCTTATTGAAAAAATAATCAGTTATATCCATAGGTTGTATCTGCAGGAGTAGTCGTGGGTGTAACCTCCTCAGGTTGCTGACTTTAAACCTTCATAATACCTAATATAACCTACAGATATCCTCCAGATGACTTTCTACTAATTTGCAGGAAGCTATTCTACTGGATTGGGAAATATTCCCTTTGTCAACAACTTCTGGTTATTCTAGATAACAGGACGTTGATCATTATTCAGTATTAGGGATAATTCCTACAATTACAACATGTTTCTGGACCTAGTTCTAGAACTCTGTGAAGTTCTTTATCTTTTTTGCTATAGTCCCTTGGAGTTCTGTACTCTTCTCATTATTGTAGGATAAATGAGAATATATTGGCTCTTTGTAGAGATCCTCTAACATTCATTCTTGTACTGTTATGCAAAAAGGTCCAGTTACTTATAGCTACTACCATAGGTGTTCTATCTTTGAAGTCTTTAGACCTTATGAATACTTAACAGATTTATTCTATTCTACTTTTTCAACCTAGCTGAAGGATCTATCTCATATAGCCTACAATCAGAATCAAGTTGGAGGAATGGTAGCGATTTATAATATGTTAGTCTGGCACTTTCAATCCTGCGGTATTAGTCACAGGATGCAACTGAGATTGATATGTATAAAAACAGGTAGGCCTGTTTGGGGGTCGGAGGGGAGTGTTTAAGACTAGAGATTCCAATTCTGAGTGATGTTACCCTTCTTAGAGTGATTCCTAGGTATCAGATCTCAGTCCTCCTAACATCTACTTATGTATATGCAAGTTCTCCCCTGCTCTAGCAATCAACTTCCTCTTAAGATTAGAACTTAATTGAGTAAAGCTATAAATTACTGATATTAAGTTTTACCATTTTGTTTCCTTAACTCTATTACTAAGTCGTTGAGATTTTGTTATATTTATTTCCAGAAGACTTCAATTTTTTTAGATCACAACCTTGGGATCAATCTTCCCTGTAGGAGCCCCCCTTACATATACATATTGGCTTGACTATCTGAAATAGTTTTCCTTAGAGTATTATTACACTATATTTGTATTCATCTTGTATATTTTGCATTTATTAGTATACCTCCTAGCTAACTTTTTTGATTTATTATTTGACATATTTAGTAATTAATATTAACGTTGTATTCAAATATTTATTAGCTTTCTCTTCAAGAATATTAATTAAATAATAGTTTTTAAATTTTACTATACAAGCTATATTCTTCCAAATTATCTATAGATTACTATGATCTCATAATACTATAATGCAACCTCTTTTATCTGTTGTCATTTCTTATTTTTTAATTTTTAAATGCTGTTCTGTACATGATTTATTAGTTTATATTTTATTGGAATAGTGAAATTTATTTTAGAATACTAATTGGAAAGCAACTCTTAAGTGTATAAATCTAAGTGAACTATTAGCCTATATTAATTATTACTTTAATCTTTAACTGCTAGTAGTATTATTATAACTTGAAGATAACTTGAATGTTTTATAACTTGAAGAGGCCTTTTTACCTTTTTTATGTGGAGAATAGGATTAAATGGTAAAGAGAGAAGAATAAATTGAAAAATGTTTTTCAATAAATGTTTCCAGCTTTTCTCAGCCAAAAATAAGAAAGAAAACTAATATATCAAAACTAAAGTATGAGAATCAATTTACAATTCCTGCTTTCTTATTTTTTCTCTGTTTTAACTCTCTTACAGGATGTAAAAGCTTCTATCTAATAAATGAATTTGAGGCTTTATATATATATATATTTTACAAATATTTATATATACTATTAGGCTTTTATCTCTACATTAAATTTTAATGTCATTACCTATTAGTTTAATAGTATTATAGCCTCTAGTTGTCATCTATGTCTTTTATGATATTTCCATCCATGTTTCTGACATTTTCTTACCAACTACTGCAGTTTCATTGACAAGTGTACTCACATAATGGGTATTGTTACTGACTAGTTTCCAACTGTTTTAATACAGATCCATTGTTAGAAGCCATCATTCAGACATACTATCATACCGAAGTGGTGTATTGCCGCCACTGCATGCACTGCCACATACATCGCCATGTTCGCCTGACTTTTCTCGACCCCCTTCCTACGTTATTATGTCGATGGCACGTGATGTTAAAACCAAGCCTCAAGCCACACTCTGCCTCATTGGTCTAGACCCTACTTGGTATTGGTACCACAACTACCCATCCCCGTGCACGTATGGACTATGTACCGTCCTCGTACTCGGCCTCTCGGTGTTTCCTTAACCTTTTGCCTTTCCGTCAGTGTCTGCTCCAGCCATCTACCATACATCAAACTTCACGTCCGATTTAACAATTAAATATCCTCTACTTTCCCGAGACCTTGTTAATCGAAAATCGGTCCCCACTTCACTTTACCCACCATGTCTGATCCTGAAAGAGAGAAGGCGCTTTCGGAATTCAAGACAAAGGTTATTTATCCCCCAGTAACCTGTCTATCTATCGCAGCGCCTAAGGGTTCAATAATTTCATCAAGGGCATCATAATGCTAATATTGTACTCTCTCTATAGCTTCTTGAGCACCGAGAATGGGATGCAAAATTAAAAAATTTGAGGAAAGAGATTAAGGATCTTCAGAAGGAGTTCGACCATACCGAGGAGAATATTAAGGCATTACAGAGTGTTGGTCAGATCATTGGGGAGGTTCTGAAACAGCTGGATGATGAACGATGTATGTTCATCCCTCCGTTTGCCTTTCTTATTTTTTCTCATTTGTTGGATAGTAGAGTTGACCATACATATAGTTATTGTCAAAGGTGAAGCTCAACAATAGTACCATCTTTTACTAAGTTTATCACAGGGTGTTAACGATTCGATAAACGATAGCTTCGTCTGGACCTCGTTATGTTGTCGGTTGCCGCTCCAAGGTTGACAAAACAAAACTTAAGCAAGGTGTTCGTGTAGCGCTCGACATGACTACCCTGACAATTATGAGAATGTTACCTCGAGAAGTCGATCCTTTGGTCTATAATATGTCACTTGAGGATCCTGGTCAGGTATCTTTTGGTGGTATCGGAGGTCTCAATGAGCAAATTCGTGAGCTAAGAGAGGTTATCGAACTACCACTGAAGAATCCAGAACTTTTCTTGAGAGTTGGGATTAAGCCACCAAAGGGTGTTTTACTTTACGGCCCCCCGGGGACAGGAAAAACGCTGTTGGCAAGAGCTGTAGCAAGTAGTTTGGAAACAAATTTCTTGAAAGGTGCACCCTACATGAACCCGCGTATTTAGCTGTTTGGTTGATCATCTAATGTCAATTCTCTAACTTAGTTGTGTCTTCGGCGATTGTCGACAAATATATCGGGGAATCTGCCCGTCTGATTCGTGAAATGTTCGGATATGCTAAGGAGCACGAGCCCTGTATCATCTTCATGGACGAGATTGATGCCATCGGTGGACGCAGGTTTAGCGAAGGGACTTCCGCAGATCGTGAGATCCAACGAACTCTCATGGAACTCCTCAACCAATTGGACGGATTCGACTACCTTGGAAAGACAAAAATCATTATGGCAACCAACAGGCCGGACACCCTTGATCCTGCGCTTCTGAGAGCCGGCCGATTGGATAGAAAGATTGAGATTCCCTTGCCTAACGAAGTTGGTCGATTAGAAATCCTCAAAATCCATGCTGCCTCGGTGTCGAAGGAGGGAGAGATTGACTATGAGAGTATCGTCAAGATGAGCGACCAGTTGAACGGCGCTGATCTTCGAAACGTGATTACGGAAGCTGGATTCTTCGCCATCCGAGACGACCGTGATGCTATTACCCAAGATGATATGTCGAAAGCTGTCAGGAAGGTGGCAGAAGCCAAGAAGTTGGAGGGCAAGCTTGGTGAGTTTCCACTCTTCTTTCTCCTGTTGCGCTCATTGTTCTGGCCGCTAATGCTGTGTTCTAGAATATCAAAAGCTTTAGTTGGTTCTTGTCTTTGTAAAGCATGTAGTCCTACGACTCATCGAATACGTCGGATGATAATTGATGCTCTTTGCTGCACTGTATATTCCCACAAAATGAAAGACCCCTGTGCTTACGATGGCTGCTCTTTAATGCACCTTCAGGCCACACCCACAGACCGTGAGTGGCTCCAATCGTCAAAGGGCACAATTATGTATCGACGTTAGCATTAGCGTCCATCCCTTAGTGAAACTGTGCACAAGCCCAACCACCACTTTGAAAGTCTTGCGAGTGAAGCACAGCGGAAACAGACCTAACGGTTTGCAATACGATTGCCAGCGGTTGGGCTCTCAAAACTTATATCACCATTGCAACCACGTGCCTACCAGTACTCGTACGAGCAGAGCAACTTAAGAGCACACGAGCAGGAACTGTTGCTTACAAAGGACGGAGTAAATTTGTGCAGTTTTTAAAGTGTGGTTTGGCCACCTCGTTAACAGAGCAGGGCGTCTCCCACTCCAAGCATGAGTAGTGTGCCCAAGAGAAGCAAAAAATTATTATTTATGGCTAATGCAGGTGACGATTTTTTCTTTATGGTTGCTTCATTTAGGGACGCGCGCCGAGACTTGACGTCAATACTGTACTCGAGTACTCGTACCGCACGTACACACTACGAGGGGGTGAGCATAACTGAGGCGAATTCGAGTTTAGCTGGTCAAAATCTGGTTAGTGTATCAATGCGCAAATAACTCCAACCTTAGAAACTTCATCGGAACTACTCGAGTATCCGAGTAGTTCGCCTCACCTATCCTTAAAACATAGGTATAGGAATTCCCCATTGTGGTGCCTGATAGAGGTTTCCCTGTGTCTGTCGCGGAATAACCGAGTGAAATATGAATACTCATGGCAGGTCACTCGCTATTTGCCAGTATTTGGATCCCTTGCAGTGTTGGAAACAGTGGCCGGCTTCCAAGCAAACATTCAGTGGATACCGAAAAAAGGTCTTCACTAGTCGTGCTCAACTAAAGACTTAGTCTTCCCGGCATGGGATGGATCATCGGCAGTGACTAGTAAATTCCCATAGTATATATTGCCCTGTGTCCGCTCGAACAAAAATCACGCATTCAGTTTTCTATCCTCATTCCCCCATATATATTTCGGTATGCACCGCAGTGACATTTACCCCCTCCCACCAAAAAAATAAGATAAAAATAGCAGAAAGTCGATAAAATTTATCGAGGCGCGAGTGTCGTAAACGATTTGTCACATGTGCAGAGCATACACAGAAAACTTTTTAGATCTTTGAAGACAACTAAGACAGTACCCCTAGCAGAAAAGAAACGGAGAAAAAGAGGACTGAAAAGCAAGGCCGAAAAGCTAAAACCCACGAGATCCCTTTCATGACTATTGGTCGTATTTCGCAACGTGGATAGAGATGGCTCTTCCACTGGGATCAGTGACTTTGGTCCACATTGGGGTCCAACGCATGACGGTTGGGGCACATTGGGCAGGGAACTGCTCATCAAACATGCATCTGTACCAGTACCCCTCCTTGCTATCAGGGACGTCGGCTCCCCATTCGGGCTTGGGACTCTTCATTTGCTCGTCCGAGACCATCTTTTCGGCGGTGTCCTTTGGAGAGATATCAGTAGTTGGGATGAGGCGCATGGGTTAGGGTTTGATTACCTTGAGTATATCAATCCATCCGTAGCCAACACCATCGCTGAATTGCTCCTTCTGACGCCAGAGAATATCGTCGGGAAGGTAAGGCTTAGCATCTGGGTCGTCGCTAGTATCGAACGCCTTTCTCAGGATGAACTTCTCAATGCGCTCCTTAGTGATAAGCTTCTCGGCGGGATCCACATTGAGAGAAACCTCAAGGAACTACAAGTTGTCAGAACTCTTGGATAAAGAGGGGGTAATATGTGAGGGAATACCTGCTTATCCAAGAAGGGAACACGAGCCTCAACCCCCCAGGCGGCAGTAGACTTGTTCGCACGGAGGCAATCAGAGAGATGAAGGTTCTTGACTCTCCTGATATTCTCGGCATGGAACCCGTCTTTGCTAGGGGCATTGACGAAATACAGATAACCACCGAAAATCTCGTCAGAACCTTCACCACTAAGAACCATCTTCACACCCAAGGCTTTGATCTTCCTGCTCAACAGATACATAGGTGTTGAAGCGCGAATAGTGGTCACATCATAACTCTCAAGGTGGTAAATGACATCTCTAAGAGCATCAAGACCCTCCTGTAGGGTAAAGTTGAACTCATGGTGGACAGTTCCAAGGAACTTCGCGACTCTCTTCGCCGCAATGGTATCAGGGGAACCAGAAAGACCAATGGAGAAGGAATGCAATTCCGGCAGGGCTGTAACGGTAGAATCGTCTTCACCATCAATTCCGACCAGTTCATGGGGGATAACCGAGCCATTGACGATTCCAGCCTTAGCCCTAGCCTTAGCAGTTTCACGCGCAGCGATGGAGGCGATAAGACTGGAATCGAGGCCACCAGAGAGAAGAACACCGTAAGGGACCTCGGCCATCAAACGTTTTCTAACGGACTTCTCAAGTGTGGTCCTGATAAGTTTGTAATCCACTGGGTGGAATGGAACCATTTTGGGGTCCCACCATGAAGGCTCGAAATATCTGGTCGTCTTCTTCGTGAGGGAGTCATAAATGTGACCGGGAGGGAACGAGACAATTTTGTCGCAAACTGGGTGGAGGCATTTGAGTTCCGAGGCGAAGTAAACGGCGCCGGGAGTCTTGGAGGACCAGCCCTGGTAGAAACTGGTAATTCCAATGGGATCACGAGCTGCGATGGTGCGATCGTTCTTTGAGTCATAGAGGACAAAAGAGAACATTCCGTCGAGAAGCTTGGGGGTGTTTATTCCATGGTTAGGGTACTATAAGACTCGTTAGCCACTTTCCCCACAACCGAACCTAGCCGGAATCTCTTACCAAGTGCAAGATAACCTCACAGTCGGAATGTGTCCTGAATGTCACTTCAGGCTTGAGTTGCTTGCGCAAGATTCTGTGGTTGTAAATTTCACCGTTGACTGCCAAAAATATAGTACCATCATCGCTGACCAATGGCTGAGCCCCACTGTCTGGTTCACTTTAGTAGGCTGTCCGACGGGTTGGGGACAAAGACGGGGCGCAAACCGATTCCGACAATACTCAACCGCTCATGAGTAAGGACTGGTGATGTTAGATAGGTTTGTGATGCATTGGGAGCCACTGGAAACTACATACTCGTGTTGTTGGAAATAATGTTCCCGCCTATATAGGTATCGTTAGTTGGGCAATTAAACCAGAGAAACAGGGGGGGGGGAAGAGACTCACTCCAATCCGGACCGCGATGGCGAACGCTATCAAGCATTGTTAGCTATCCTTTGGGGATCAAATCGAGTTAGAGGATTGGTTGGAGAAGCCTACGCCTTAGCCAATTGCAAAGCTTGAGGCTTGAATTTGTGAACATCGGGATGCTTGTGGCAAGCGAATATACCTGCCTCTCATCGTGAGCAAAGAAAAGAAGGTAATTTTGATAATTGGGCGGGTGAAGGGAGGACTGCTCACCACACATGATTGCAGTTGGTGCTAGGGGGAACCGGTAGAGAGAGAAGTAAAGGGCGCTTGTAGGCGGGAAAAGCGAGGAATTTGTAGTAGAGCGAGAACCGCGGAAAAGATGACGGTGGTGGTGTTAGGGAGAAATGTTCGTGATTGTGAGAGGGTGTTGAAGTGGGATGAAGAAAGTTGATGGCGGGGGATTGGGGGCACGAGAGACTAGTCCAAAAAGGGAATTAAGGATTGCCGAGAAGAGTGAAAGTGAGGGACCCTTACCTCGCCCTGGGTCATGTGAGCTAAAAGTGTGGAATGTCACATACTGGTACTCGGGTACTCGAGTACGAGTATAGTACCTGTATGATACTCGGGGATGCTGAGGTTGCAAGTTTTTATTTTATTCCGCCAAACCGGTTGTGGACCCGTATCGGGGGTCCATCGCTTTTTCCATGAGCTCAGTGAGCTGGGCCCAATCAATCAGTCCCTCATCCCTCACCCCTTGCCCCATCGTTCTTGTTTGAGATGCATCGCCTCGCCATTGAAAAAGAAAAATAGCAATAATGTCATTATTATGAAAAAAAAAGAACAGAATGCAAGCGATAGAACAATCAGGGATAAATCTGCTCTCCACACACGTTGATAACGACTTTTTTTTTTCTTTTTTATCCTTCTTTCCTCCGAATTGAAAGGGGGGGGGAGGAACTATCATATTTCGTCGCTTGATTACTCGTAGACTACCGCCCGGACAAACTGAAGAGCTTACCATCTAGCATAACAAATGTGAAAGGCAGCTTATTCGAGTACTCGAGTACTAGCCGATTTTTTAAGTATCCGGACACCTTGACGCAAATTTGTATGAGTCTTGGCGCCAAGGTGTCCGGATATTAAAAAAGTCAGCTAGTACTGTTCCGGCACACAAAGAAAAACAAAGGACGAAATAGGGGAGAAAAAGAAAAAAGAAAATAAACAGAAAAGAGGGAAATGAAGTCATGAATAACACCTTCGGTTACAAGTACCCCGGAGCGTCCGGTCCGGTACGATGTTCCAAAGGGGGTCCCGAAACCTTGCCAGAGCTGTACTCGTACTATAACTCAAGCAATCTTTCTGGTAGCTGAAGCTCGTGATGTGGCTACCGCAATGCCAAAAGCCCCCCCACATTAACCGAGATGGTAATTGAAAATCGAGTAATATTTCTCCAATCCTTTGTAACGGTTATTACAACAGCGTTACCCCACTAATATTGAGGCATTCGAGGGAGCTCTTTGACGCTTTTGCATCCATCCTCGTGCACCGGTTCCGTGCCCGCCCGGAACCGTGCGAATATGGAGTGCACAACTCTTGACAAATTCTCAACGCAAGATTGGGGGTTCCCGGGCTCTCTCCTCAGGCTGACCTTCTGCGCCCTCCCATTGGCATGGGGCATTCGTCTGCGCTCGAGTAGACGACTCGAGCGCCGATACCTTCGAATCCGAGTGCCAAGTCTATCCTGCTTTTGGGACTGATCTGCAGTCTTCAGCGGAGGCCGGCGGGTGGCGGGCGGGGAGTAGTGTACTGTACGATACGATAGCAGGTACTTCCCAGTTACCCTACTTTAACGAATTCCCATTTCTATGCCTGCCAATTATCATAGCCCTGTTCGTCACCAGTGGGTTTGCCCTCGTTGAAGACTGGAATTACCATTAGGTATGATGCCTTGTCAAACTCACTGTGGGGGGCTAGCCATGAGATCGTGATGCCCCACATCACAAATCGGGGTTTTTTTCTTCTTCCATGAGATGCCGCCAATCTCTCATCATAACTTTTCCGGATATTACACTGCCAACTTTCGCCGAGGACTGCGCATGTGTTGTGGGTACGGTACAGTATTGCATTGCAAATTATGATACCTATCGATCCAGAGAAAATAGAATGGATGAAAAGCATAACATCTTGGTCGCCTGGGCCTTTTTTCGGTGAAAAAGGAAAACGAAATTCCATTGAGCCTACCGATACAAGTGAATATGATTATCAACCCCCTCATCAATTACGCCCCCTCTCCCCAACTTTTCTTCTTCTCATGCTTCAGGAAACTCCTCGGCCTCTAAAAGCGCAAAGAAGCAAAGAGCCAGCAACCGGCGAGAAGCCCTTAGCACCTCAGCAGCGATCCGGAACAGTCTCATCGGAAGCCTCCCTTCTCCACCTTCCGGTCTATCAGCGCTCCCGATTACCGCTTCTTGGCAGGAGGCCTTGGTTTAGCTTCATCTTCTTTGATCGGGTGGAGCATGACTTTGATTGGGTATTGAGGATTGTTCGCCTGATGCCCTTTGCTCCAATCGTAACTAATTGCATAAGCGAATATCGATCCGTTTCTGTTAAAAGAGGCAGCTGGAATGGACCAATTGACGGAGGGGAATCCTTTAAGACGATGTTTCGCGTCCTTGTCCCTATATATCCGATTAGCTTCAATATTTTGGGGGTGGAAAAACTCTTCGTGCAATGAGTGACGTACCAAAAATGGAATGTACCATCCGAACCAGCAGTAGAAAACGTTCCAAAGGTGGGATGAAAGGATATCGCGTTGACACTATAAACATTTGCGATACCAGTGGAGGGGGTTTCACGGTGACATTTAAAGGAAAAGTTCATACTGTAGAATTGGTTAGCAACACGATTAGAACCACAATTATATTTCAAACTCACCTGGCATTCTTATCGTCGACATATTGTATTGCGCATCTTCCTTCGATACTACCTACAGCAAATCCGGAGGCATCAGGGAAACAACTTACCACCCGAGTTTGCCATTTTAGCGGACTTTGGATGGTTTTAAAGATCGCGGTAGGATTGGCAAGATTGATAACATTGATATATCGTTCCGCAGTCCCAGTGACAAGCAAGCCTTGAGAGACATCTAGCGTATACACACGATCTTGAATCTGGACCATGGCCGCTGGCTGTTGTTGTCGAAGGTCCCAATACTTGAGTGTCTTGTCCCAAGAGCCCGTAACAAGCATTTCACCGGCGTTCGGCGCTTGAAACATCCGCACGCAGCTTACAGGTTCATCATGGGCTGCCACCTGAGTGGCCTGACCGGACTGAAGGTCAAACATGCGAGCAGCTTTGTCGGCACCACCAGAGACAACTTTGGTGCCATCCTAAAAATCATTAGTAAAAATGATATGAGGGCGCGCCCGGAGCTCAAACCGGAGAGACAGATTAGCCAACCTTGGACCAGTGAACCGATAGTGCTGGGGCTTGATGATCATACAAAGCTTTCCCGATTGATTGTCCCGTTTCTGATATTTCATATATTCGCACTTTGCTATCCCAGGAAGAAACTGCCAAATGCTCGGATTGAGAAGAAAAGGAGAGATCAGATACACTGTCCTCGGGTGGGGAGGTGACCTCTACATCTTTGCTGAGGTCACCTTGGGTGTTATTGGTGGAAGCAGCTGTGGAGGCGGTGTTGCCCCCGAAGAGTGTCGACATCTTAGCGAGTATGTAGCGGTGGTAGCGGAACTATTCAGGGATTCGCGGGTTCGAGTATTCAAAGACGGAGTTAGAGGGGTGAAATATAAGAGGGGTTTTATGTTGTTTTCGTATTTTATTTGTCTCCCAGAGCGTGCTGGGACGCGTAGAGATGAATTGCTGTCGCGTCGGGTGAAGTGAGGCGTGTGGTGTTGAACAGGGAAGGTGATCAAGATTGGTGGCTGGTTCCGACGAAGACAAACTCAATTGCTTAGTCATTCACGCGATAAGGTGCCCCCAAGTTCTCGTGTTGGCAGATATGGTAATGCTAAAAGTTTTTAACGCGTCTTCTTTCAGTACGCAGAGTCTCCCCACCTTTCTTCTACATCCTCCCATATACCAATATTATCTCTGGTTTTGGTATCGTCTGCGAACCTCCCCAAATGGCTTCACCAACTACTCCCCGCCGCCCCCCGGCTGGTTATTGTTACACTCCGTCTCGTTCATCACCTTTATCCTCTCACCCCCAGATCACCCCACAAACCCGGTTTGGCCTCAAGATGCTTCCGTCGCCGCCGTCATCCCCACTAGAGTTCCTTGCTCCTAAACGCCTTTTCAAACCAATTCCCACATCTCACTCCCGCGAGGAAGGTAGGGAAGCTCGGCGAAATTTGTTCCTGAAGAAGGTTCGGGATGCCCGGGACGAAAAGTTGATGAAAGTAAGAGGTGGAGAAGATGAGGTACTGGCATCGATTTCCTTCCAGTTGACTAGCCTTTATTAACTCAATTTGTTTTTGTTTTTGCCAGATGATGCGATTAATCTTCGTCTCTGAAAAAAAGCGGTGGGAAGCATCGCAAGCAAGAACTGCGGCTTCGATCCCTACCATTTACGAAGAAGAGGAATTTGGCATCGGAAACGAGGAGTTAGACTTCCAAGCTGAAGAATCTCTGTTCATGGACCAAGACGGTATATATTGTACTGATCCACCTTGGTTCCTCTTTCTAACCCTCTGTGTACAGAACCTGGTCCCTCGGAAGATCTAGATGAAATGCTCGACCGTGACGGTAAGGAGCTTGAAGACCTTCTCTCTCAACTTGATTTGCAATTGCATCAAGTCATGCCAGAGGCAAACCGCGAAATGATGCCAACTTAGTTCTCTTGCCTATTCTCTCTGGCATAGAACCCATTGCCGAACTTGGGTTTGTGCCAAGATGGAGGGCTGGGCATGGGATACTTTGTAATTTTACTGTGGTATCATTTGGCGCAGGGAGTCCAGGAAAACTCTTATTCTTATTTCTGACTCTAGGCCTGTAAAATAAGTCTGCGGCTCACTCTTTGTATAAATATGGTGGGGCCTTCTTCTATCAACCGTTTGTGCATCTCTTGTCTCATTTGTAACTCCACTGCTATCGCAAATATTATTTAATTGAATACGTTTTAATATACAGCTTACCACGAGCATTTCCACACATCTAGCAATCACTGTACCGCACAATTCGAGTCGACATCAGGAGGTATACTCAATCCTTGTCCCATCTCCCCCATTAACTCCGTTGGGGGTGCGCCGGCAGCTTGCATCTATCGTGGCGCCTGGATCAGTATAAGAGTGTAGGAGTGTAGAGCAAGGGCAATCCAATCACCTTTTGCATGCGATCGATGATAAACTCTCGGTCTTTATCAGATTCGTCCCTATATTCTGGTTCCTCGAATTTTGCCACGATCTCCTTGACCACCCCATACTGCTCCCGATACTGCTGTAGGTCCTCGGCGGGCTGCTTGGACTCATTGCTCCTCAGCCAATCTGGATATTTCTCGTTCAATTCCTTCATGGGTTCGTAGAGAATTTCTTTGCTCGTGAGCTGCTCCATCATGTTTAACAGCATTTTGGAAAAGTCCTCGTCGCTTTCTCCTTCGCCGGCCGCTCCTTGCATCTGTTTCAACATTTCCGATAAAAAGTCTTCAGCTTCGGAGCCAGCGACTGCAGCGTCAACCTCTGCTCCAGAAGACTTCATGCGATCCATCGTTTGCTTTATTCGGTCTTGGAAGTTGGCCGCCGCTTGGTCTGACGGTCTAGAGCTGGACGGCGCCGATGGCATGGGACTAGGTACTGCGGTGGCGTCGTTCAGCTCCTTCACTAGGTGCTCAAATTGGTCCTGTAGTTCTTTCTGTAACTGATTAGCGGTCCGCCATCCTCCAGTCATCCATAGCCGTAGAGCTTGCCATACTGAGTCCTGCATCTCGCCCAGTAAATCCTGCATTCCCAACTGCAACTGACGAGCAAAGTCATCATCGAGCGACTCCAGGGAAGGGCCACGATTGTCATTTGAGACACCGGTATCGCTAGTTTTGGCTGGGGGTTGACCAGTTGGTTGGGGCGAACTCTGGAATTCGTCCAGTAAATCTATGGACATGTATTAGCTACGGTTGCCCTTGTACAAACCTCATTGAGTAAGGCGCCTACCATCAAGGTCATCCAAATCATCATCATCGGAGTCCTCTTCGACTGTAACTTTTGACGGAGGAGGCATGGTGGGATTAGCTGTTTGTGAACCTTTGTTGCGATTTGGGGGAAAAATTGAAAGCGATTTTCTGACGGAATGTTACCGGCTGGGCAGCTTTGATGGTGCTGGTGGTGGAGGGGGAGGTATCAGAATGTACCGGGAGTCGTGGGTAAGTCTGTCGAACCTTACTTAAATTATTGGCTGCAGCCTTCTCGCCCACTCAGAACAGTAAATGTACAGTACCGGGGGTTAAGGGTAAGTGAGGCGAACATACTGTGATTGGTGGATATAATGATCCAGTGAGAATTGAGGAACATATTATATAAGATGTTGCATGGCTGGTGATCTTATTGGTTAGAAGACACCTGAATATGAAGAGTTGTTCTCTGATGACAGATTCTCACCACTACTCGAACTACAACCGAGAAGGTGCCTTTCAGATAAAGAACAGCTATGAAGACCAAGGGTACACGTGCAGATTATGCTCCTGCGGGAGACCGAAAGCACCGTGAAACCACATGGGATGAGCGGTTACAGGTAGTAACCCTCAGGGATAAGGCTGGAATGACTTGGAAGGTAAGTTATTGCTATGATTCCGGGTTTAGATATTCATATTCACCCTGAAGTATCTGAAAAGGCAATACCATTTCCTTCACGGGTAGGATGGTTTTCTAACACTGAGTGAATTTTCAGATACTTATTGTCACATATGAGTAGTAAGCTAATAGGACTCAGATACTTTGGATTATTGCAGAGAAGGTAAATATAGACTTTTGGACATGCCAGAAAATCTATCAACGAGCTATGCTATACGACTCTCCCGCAAACCGGTATAGAATAGGATGACCTGTCATTTTCATAGAGGAAGAGAAGCAATGTTTGGTTGCTTTTATCACCCGGGATGCTCTGACTCGATACTTGCAGTGGGAGGAAGTAATTGTGGAAATGGGATACCAAAGTTCTGTTTGAACAATTTGTGATGCACTTGCATCATGAGGTTATCATAAATGACTTCCCAGAAGAAAGTAAGTTCCCTATAATTTGTCTTAAATTATGGAGACTCCCTAGAGTCTTTGAGCTATTTGAAATACTATGATGATTACAAAAGATATTAGTATGGGGTGATAGTCTTGGTTCTCCACAAGGGAAACATATATACTTTTAATAGAGCAGCAGCAAGACTATACTTTTTATAGGTCCACAGGAGCTATTCCAATTAAGGTAGCGAAACTTAGCATGGAGAAATAAGTAGCTAAGGTGTTTATAACTAGAGGTAGGTATAGGTTAACAAACTACTACGGTGGAGCAGATGGGGTATTTGAGCCAAAAACAAACCACTTCAGGTTCAATGGTGTCAGGAAAGACTGCATTGGACAGAAGAAGATTGGATACAAACAGTTTGGACTGAAAAATCTAGCTTCTCGACTGCTGAATTTAGTTATCGGCCATGGGTGTTCAGAAAAGATGATGAAGAATACTATTTGGATTTTATAGACCAGGTATGGAAATCAGGTTATCAGTCAGTAATTGAATGGGGGGCTCTTTGCAGCTTGATAAAGTCACAACTATATGTCGTACCACCCGGTACAACATTAAATTCTAAAAATTACGTCCAAAACATTCTTCTTCCTCTTCTCCTACCTTTCTGGATGTAGACATGTGAGGAATATGGGTGGACTCAGATTGGGGAGAATAACACTCCTGGGCACAAGGGTTCAGCAATTGGTGTTCAGGAAGAATGGGATATGGATTGTATTCCATTCCCACCCCAGTCTCCAGATCTAAATCTAATAGAAGCCGTATGGGCAGAGATTGAGACTGAACTGGGACAAATACATAAGTGTACAGAGGATACACTGACTTTGATTTTGTTAATAAAAGTTACTTGGAAGAATATCTGCACTGAACGCCTTCTTAAATTTATTCAGAGTATGCCACAAAGGCTTGCTGGTGTTATTGCTGTAAACAGGAAAGCTACTCCCTATTAGAATATTATATTATCGATTTTTTTCTTTTCTCAATGTATATTATCCAGAGTTTGCCTTACTTTTTTCTATCTCCAATTTTCTGGCTTGGCCGTGGTATGTAACCAATCAGACTTGCAGTTTTTACTACTTCTCATACAATCAACAGCCAATGAGCTCCAAGTTCGCCTTACTTATGCTCACCCCCTAAATACAGGGTGTGGAAAAAAGTAATGCAACACTCATACAACACATATCTCTGTACATCAACATTTTTGACAATGTATAGTACTACCTCATTCTACAACAATATTTAGTAAATCAAATAAGTAAAGGAGATAAAATAAAATAGTCCTCAGTATTCTCTTGAAGTAAAATAAAAAGAAAACCCTAAATCAATAATGAGTTTGGTGCCTTTTTCTTCTAATAACCTCTCAGATCCTTTTTGGCAAACACCTGCAAAGACCCATAAACCTTCTATTAGGAATAGCTTCCCAAGCTTCCTCCACAGTTCTGATTAGCTCTTCTCTACTTACAACTCTTCCATACCTTTTCTCCAAGTAAGTCTCCATATCTCTCCAGATATTCTCAATCAAGTTCAGATTTGGAGACTGTGGTGGTCAAGGCAATATATCTACCTCATTTTTCTTTCTAAACTTCGTAGAAAATCTGTAACTAAATTAGTAGTTAGATTATATTCTTAGTAAGTAGTTCTATAATAATAAGACAAAAAACAAAATAATTATAGGATATATGTAAGAAGATAGAACTTACTTTGGATGCCTTGGTGTACAATCTTTAATAATCTTTGTCTAATTAAATCTCTCACAACACTCATACCAGAAAGGAATTAAAACTAGATCCAGTATATACTTAGTATACTCACAAGAATCCACTTTAACCTTTCCTTACACTACTACCAACTTTGACCTCAAATTTCTACAAAAAGCTCCCCATACCATAATAGTATCACTTTCTGACTCCTAGACCTCATTCAGACATACGCTCCATCGCTCCTATTTTCCTCCCACATAGTTTGGCAATACCACATCAACTATCGTGGGCCCTCCCCACTCGCCTCTGCCCCCTTAATGGTTCCTGCCTAGGGGCACAGTTAACTCTTCCATCCCCTCCCTCTTTGGCCTCTCTTGTCTCTTGACTGCTTGATGGGGGAGTTATTTGGGCTCACCCAGTAGTCCTGTCTTGCTAATAGGTGCTCGCTTAGCTTTAGCACGGTCGGCTTCCTCTCTTCGCTTCCGGATGGCACTGGCAGTGGTAGACGTCCTTCTCCCCACTTGCACGATCCCCGTTGGGGAACGCCTTGGCTAGTAACTTCGGGGTCTGTCTTGAGGTGAGATTTGACCATACCCTCCTAGTCGCTCGGTTCTAGTTTGGTTGCCTTCCTCACCTCGCGCTTCCACCTCCTTACCGCCGGTGGGATCCCTTCCACTAAGTGATGCTATCTCTCGGAGAACAAGGGACTACATGAGAGACGTGGTAATACGGCAGGTTTGGTTTCGGTTGGGTCAGCACTGGGGCCTTGGGTCCTTCCTCCCTTTTTTCTCTTCTGTCACGTCGGCTGGTACCCTACTACTGTTGGCTGGTACCCTACTACCTCTTCCTCTTTTGCTACTTTAGGCAGCCCCTTCGGCCCTCCCAAACGGACGGCTTGGGGCTCTTGTTCTGCCAATTCCTCCTGCTTATAGTGGACGCTCTTTCCTTTCGGTTTCTCCTACTTGCGACTGTGGGCTATATGCCCAAGACATACGTTTATATCACCTATATGGCGCACCTATTTGTTTTTTTGACTTCATGGGCGAGGCCCGGCCATTGGTTTGTCCCAAGTGAGGGGCATGGGTTGGGTTGGTATCTGGTTGTTGTAGGCGAGGGACTGGCTTCAGCTTTTGGTTTGGGGTTACTCTGGTTTGGGTTTTTCTCTGCTCGGTCGGGGGTGTACTGTGGGGATGGGGGTTTCCCTTGCTTTGAAGAATGAGTTTCTGGGCTTTCTGTCTTTACCATTTGTAGATAGCCGTGTGGGAGACTTGTGGGGGAGTTTTTTAAACCAAGGACTGGTTGGGTGTTGGTAGCTCTAGGCGAGACTCCTCCTCGTTCAAGTTGTGGGCTCTTAGGGGCGGGTACTTGGCTGCTGGTGTATGCCTTTCTGTGGTCACGGTTTTGCTTCTGGCTGCTTGAGAACAAGGCGGGTTGGAGGTACGGGTCTGCATGGCGAAAGCTGAGATGACCCCCGGCCTTACTTTCATTAAAGCGGATAAATAAATAAAATTATATAAAAAAAAAAAAGACCTCATCCAGACAATCCTGATCATACTCCTCAAAAGGCTCTCTTATCACACATCCTCTCTGTCCAAATCCAGCTGTAGAGAAAGAAGTTTCATTTGTCCATATGATTCTAAACCACTTTCAATTTCTAAGCTCTTTTTCTCTTACTTTAAATAAATCTAATTGGTATGTTTTTAAGGCGCAAATCCCATCTAAAATATATTTTAGATTTGTAAAAACGTAACTTTTTATTAGAAAACTTACTTCTTGTAAGGTTTTCTTTTATTTAAAGTAATACTCTTAGCTGCCTTCCTGATTGTCCTAGAGGAGGCCTTCAATCCGTTTACTTTTTTAATATCTTCCTAAGATAGTCTTCTATTTTTTTTATTTTTTTTAGGAAAAGATTTTAAATTCTCTAAATCAGACTCTTGGAAGATTGGAGGTCTTCCTATTTGCTGGTAGTTGAAAAGACTATCTGTTTCCTGGTAGTGGTGATAGAGGGGAGCACAAGTACTATAGTGTACTTTGAGGCCAGTTTTTTCCTCCCATCTAACAGCTATCTTTGTGAAAGACTATTCTGCTATTTCTCGTAGGGTAATAATTCGGACACAGTCATCTCAGGGAGTTTCTCGCTTAAAGGATTACTTCTTCTTCATCAACGATCACTGTTGCTCAATGTTTTCATGATTGATCGCTATTTTATTTCATCTTATTATTATCTCAACTACCTATGTATATTTATTTAATTAAAGTACTTATGTTCCCTGCGGTGGGATCCTTCTACCTGCATATTGATTCTTGAGGAAGGTGTAGAGGCCTGTAAAGAATAGAGGTACTATCACAATAAGGGTGTTGGAATCAGAGATGCGATCATGGGGGATGCTGTTGCAATAATATTGTACTACTTCCTTCCACCCCCTAGCATAGTGCTTGTACCGTACAATGGTAAATCATGAATTCGTGGT